AGCAGCACACCTGGCACCGCCCCTGCTCAGCCACAGCACCAACTCCTCTCCCCTGGGAAGAGCCTCGGGTCAGCACTCAAAGCCAAGCCTCCCCTGAGGCTGGAGCTATGAGGAACAGGAATTTGTACCCTGGCTAGGAGAGAGCTTGTCCCATGCCCTGGGACCTCCCAGGGAAGGCCCCGGACACAGGGAGAGGGGGAATGGTCCTGGGGTGCTGCAGTGTTGGGGTCTCCTCTCTGGAGGAGTCTCTTCCCAGTGCCCTTGAGTGACCCAGCTCCACCTTCCCTTGCCCTCCTTCCCCTCTGGCTGCGTGTGGTGCAGGAGAATGAAAGGCTGAGAACCCAAGCTCTGAAGAAAGCCAAAGAAGAGAAAGAGGAGAATTCAAAAAAGGAGAGTGAGCTCTTGAGGGCCAGGGAGAAACTGGAAGCTCTCAGAAAACAGCACCAGAAATTCTCAAAAAAATTGCTGAAGTACTCCCTGTTCAAGAGGTACCTGGAGAATGTGGTGAAGAATTCACAGGTGAGTTTGGACATGGCTCAGGGAGGGCCTCACCTGGGTTTGAACTAGGGGGGATGAGGCAAGGCCAGGGAAATCCACACTCGAACAAACCCAGAGACTCCAGGTGGGGTGGGAAGGGTTCCTTTGCAACCAAGGTGGGCCACAGGGAGTCAGGAGAAGAGAACCAGAACAGATGGAGGATTGAGAAACTGAATGGAAACCATGTGAAGGGGAGAAAGCTCAGCACTCAGGGGTGTGGGGCGCCCTTGCTGTCATCATCCCAGGTCACACTGATGGCTTGGGAGAGGTGAGAAGTGCCCAGGGATGGGACCCAGGCAGTTGACAGGAAAGCTGTGCCTCCTCTCCAGGGTGCTGGGACATCTCTCCACGCATCCCTCGTGCTCCTGCTGCCTCCCAGGGCCTGGGCACATGGAGCTACTGTTTCATCCCAGTGCTGCTCCCCTGGGGCAGAGCTGTGACACCTCCCCTGTGTCAGTGCCAGGCCTGGTGCCCAGGGGATGTGGCCGTGCCCAGGGACGATGGAGAAGGGAAGATCTTCCAGCTGGGGAGGCCTTGGCCCTGCTTAGGGCAGGGAAAGCCGTTGAGGGGAGGGCAGGATGTCACTGACCCCAGGGTCCCATGCTGCAGTTCCGGGACATCGAGGACATCATCTCCTACTACAAGGCCCTGCTGAGGACACGCAAGGACCTGCTGCAGTCCCAGTGGTGGTACCGGCAGCTGATGGAGCAGGGCAAGGTCCTGCAGCAGCAGATCAGGGCAAAGAAGGAAGCTGAGATGCTTCAGTGCAAGAATGATCTGGGGCAGCTCAAAGAATCTCTTGAGCAGGCTCAGAGCGACATCCGCCAGTGGGTAAGGAGCTCTGGGTGGGCAGGGGAGCTCCCCAAGGCCTGGTGGAGTCAGGAGCGGCCGCTGGCTCCTCCTGCAGCCGCGGCTCGTGGCAGGGCTCAGCAACAGAGCTGCTGGTGGGAGGAGATGCCTGAGCCCACCCTGCCCCACGGGGCTGCAGGAGGAGCAGGGAGAGCCCGGTGGGAGCAGGTTTGTCATGAGGAAGAGCTGGAAGCAGGTCAGGGATGGGCAGTGCTGCTGCTGTCCTTGTGGTGGGGAGGGCACGGGGCTGGCAGGGAGGCCATGCCAGGGTGAGCTGCAAAGCAGCTGGGCTGGTTCTGGATCTGCTCCCACCACACCGGGCTGAGCAGGCCCAGCCCTGGGCAAGGCCGCGTTCTGCCCAGCCCGGATGAGGGTGGAACCTGGAGTCTCCGAGCTGAAGCAGCTTTGCTGGGATGTGTCTTGTGCCCCCCAGGAGGATCACTGGGCCGAGGTCCAGGAGAGGGCTGCAGGGAAGGCCACGGAGCTGAAGTCCCTCACCATGGCCATCCACAGCCTCTTCCAGGCCGCCAGCGCACGGCTCCAGCCAAAGGGCAGGGTGGCAGCTGGGGACAGCCACAGGCAGCTGGACATGGTAAAGCCAGAGCAGAGCCTGCTCCCCGCCCAGGAAAAGCAGCAGGAATGGCTCTCCCAAGGCGAGGGGGAGCCCCCAGGCCCAACACAGCCTCCCTTCCCCCCTGGGGTCCTTGGGCAGTGGTGGGACACCAGGGAAACCTGGCCTTTCCCAGCAGCTGGAGCAGGGAGTGGGAGCCAGGCAGGGACAGGGGTTTCAGGGACAGGCGGTGCAGGGACAGGCGGTGCAGGGACAGGGGGTGCAGGGGGTGCAGGGATGCAGGAGCTCAGGGATTCAGGGACAGGGGGTGCAGGGGGTGCAGGGGTGCAGGGATGCAGGAGCTCAGGGATGCAGGGACAGGCGGTGCAGGGGTGCAGGGGTGCAGGGGTGCAGGGGTGCAGGGGTGCAGGAGCTCAGGGGTGCAGGGACAGGCGGTGCAGGGGTGCAGGGATGCAGGGGTGCAGGAGCTCAGGGGTGCAGGGGCTCGGGGGTGCAGCGATGCAGATCCAGCCATGGCCAGGGTTTGGTTTCATTCCCCCATGGAGGCAGTCTGGTGCTGCATGTGCTTTCTTGTGCTGCCACTTAGCTTGGGGACATCTGTCCTGCAAGAGGGACAGGCTCTCCTCTGCCTCCTGCTCCCATTCCTGCCCTCTCCCTTTCCCAGATCCAGCAGTTTATCTACGACCTCCAGGACTTCACAGAGGACATGAAGGAGCACAGCCGACCTCTGTGAGAACCTGCCCTGCCAGTGGGGGAGCAGCAGGGCAGGCAGGGAAACAAGAGATGAGAGAACCCTTCAGATATTGCAGACTAAAACAAATAGCAAATATTTTAAGGCATCTTTTCATTTCCTGCTGATCTTCCCTGCTCTTCTGTGAGCCCAAATTCTCAGAAGCAGAAGAGAGAGAATAGCAGGAGGGACTGAGCCCTGCAGGCTCCCAGAGGTCTCACAGAGACACTGACGGTGCCACCAAGAGCTGCTGCCTGCTCTGGAAAAGTCAGCTCCTGCCCCATGCCAGAGTGCAGAGGATGCTGTGCCTTTGTGCCCTTGCATCTCATCTCATCTGTGACATTTCCAAAGGGATGGGATCATCCACAGCTGCCCTGAGAGCTGACTCAGCTGTCCCCTCCCAGGCCACCCTGTCACCCACATGGGTGCCTCTCGGTGGTGGCAGGAGCTGATGGGACAGGAGCAGCTCTGCCCCTGCCTGTGAGGGACAGCTGGGGGCACGGCTGCCCGCAGGGGCCGGTGGAGGACACTGAGGGACCAAAAGTGAAATGTGGGTCAGAGCCAGAAGTGGAAGGGTTGGGGCTGTTGCTGCAGCAGCAGGAGCTGCTCTGGGCCTTCCAGGGAATGCCAAAGCCCAGCCTGGCTGTTTAGGATCAGGTTTCTGCTTCTCTTTGCCCATCCTGGCCATCTCTTCAAAAGGTCCCAGGTAGGGAAAACGCCTACAGAGCTTCCAACAGACATTTATTCTCTTGGGTTGAGATCAATGCACATGAACCAGTGCCACTCCTGTGGGCTGGGCACTTTCCCAGCTGTTCCAGCAGTTCTATGTGCCCAGGGGAGCAGCCTGAGCCTTCTCCAGGAGCAGCCTCAGGGACTCAGGTGGGACACACAGACCCTGCCTGTCCTCCTGCCTGCACCAGCACTGCTTCCAGCCCAGGCTGGCTCCACAGGGGCAAGTTTGGAATCCAGGGCTCTTCCTGGCCTCTGGCTCCCTCTCAGCCCCACCAAACTCACTGGCTGGGTCACTCGCTGTCCCAGTAAGGCCCTGGGAAGGCAGGACAGAGAGGAGCCTTTGGGGAGTGTGGATCAAAGCAAATCCCTGTGGGCCAAGCAAAGCAGCCCTGGAGAGTCTCTGGAGGAGCAGAGAGGGACTGGCCCAGGATGGGATCGGTTCCAGGACAGGATCAGTTCCAGGATGGAACCACCCCAGGGACACTCCCAGGGTGGAGCAGGATGTTCTTCAAACAGCAACTCCAGGTGGTTTTTATCCCTCAGCCCAGGTGTGGGATGCTCTCTCCTGTACCATGGGCTCCCCGCTGCTCTCACAGCTTCCAGGCCAAGGTGGAGCGTGGTGTCTGTGCTGCCATGGAGGACATGGGGCCATCAGGACCTGTGCCAGCACCCAGACCTGCCCATCCAGCCTGGGGGCCCTGGGTGCTGCTGCTGCAGGGGAACTGTGGACAGTGATGGACATTGGATCTCTCGGAGGAGAGCAGGACTCTGGCTGCAGACCTGGGGAGCAAAGGCAGGAGGTGAGAAACCAGGAATTGAAGCCACAGATCCCCATGTGCCCCCTTCTCCAGGGGCCATGGAGCCAATCCTGCTTTCCAGAGCTCCCACTGCCCTGAGATGAACTCCTGCCTCTGGCCACAGGGAAACCTCCACTGGCATGAGATGAATCCTCCCCCAGAGGCTACAACCCCCTGGACCCCTGGCACCAGCACCTTCCCCTCACACAGAGCTTGTCCCACATGGGGTCAGTGGGGTGCTGCAGCTCTGTGCTCATCACCCAGGGGGTGAAGCCCACCCCAAGCTGCTTAGCCTTGCTGGCCTTGTCTGCACCTCCAAACACTGGTTTTGGCAGCAGGTGCTGTGGAGCAGAGCCATCCACAGGGCAGGGAAGCAGCTAGAGCCAGGCACAGCTGCTCCAGTGGGGATCCCAGCCCCACCTCTCCCAGGTCCCTTCAGCCTCCTTCTGGGGTGAGCTGGGGAGCCCACACCAGGCTGCACAGGCAGGCAGCACCTCGATGGGTCTGAATTCCCCTGGAGTTCAGGATGAGGTATGTCCTGACCCACTGGCACAGGATGGGAGTTGCCTGGTTGGCTCAGCAGCCACAGGATTGCCCTGTGCCACTGACAGTGCACTGGGCAATCCCTGTTCCCAAAATCTTGGCTCATCCCTGTAGGGTTCTCCAGGGAGAACCAAACAGCTCCAAGGAAGGGCCAGCACCAAGGAAGCCCCTCCTGCCCGTCCCAGACTGTCATGATGTGCCCCTACCATGGCCATGTCCTGTGCCAGGGGCTGGAAATGCCCTACATGATGGAGCAGGTGAAGCCACAGCACTCCTTGAGCAGGGTCAGGCCTGTCTTGCTCATGTAGGGAGCTGACGTTTGCTGTCCTCTTGATGTCATCTTCTTCTCTCGGGCAGGAGCTGCAGGAAGAGGAGTCTGGGTCTGCCTGGGGACAGGGCACAGCCCAGGGCTGGTGCTCAGAGTTCCCCTGGGACTGCTGCTGACCCCTCAGAGCCACAGCTCTGCATAGCCGCACCACCAGCACACTGCCCTGGGTGCTCTGAGGTGTCCCCAGGGCTGGGAATGCCTCCCTGGGGAAGTGAAGGAGCACAGAGAAGGGGCTGGCTGTCATCCAAGGATGTGGTGTCCATCCTGCATCCACCTGAGGCGTGAGCCAGTGTTAAAGGGCCAGATGAAGTCTGGCAGCTCCAAGAGAGCCCCTCCCCAGCCCCATTCTGATAGGACATGGTGGGAAATGCCAGGAGGAAAATGGATTCCAAACATGTGTTCCAATTCCAGGTGGTCCCACAATGTGATCCCCCCGTTCCATTTCCCCACCCTCCTCCAGGTAAGCCAGTCCCAGTCAGTAAAATCTTGGAGGCAGAGTGCTTGGTGACAAATGCCCGTTAGGTTCAGTGCAAGGAATAAACGCTGTCAGCACCCACTTGCTCTCTGGAGGTAGCTTTTGGAGAGCTTGCTCTGCAGGAACTCGGCCATTTCCTTGTCTTCTTCCCTTTCCCTGTGACAAAGAGCTTGGTTACTGCTTGGGAAAGGAGCAGTGAGGCCCCCAGGAACTCTGGGAAGGCAGGACACAGCTCAGGGGATGGATTGCATTGTCCCCAGCACAAGCAACAGCTGACACCAGCTACCTGAGCCTCTCGAACTCCACATCATCCACCAGGAAATCCCTCGTTTCCACCAGCTTGTGGATCTGCTGCACCAGCTCCTCTTCCCTCTGCTTCTCCTCGTTGGATTTCTGGTTCTCTGCAGCACAGGGAGCACAGTTCATACCCACAGGGAGCACATTTCACACCCCCACAGGGGTCATCCCCTACCAAGGCCAGGCCTGCTCCGTTCTGCTCAACTCTGAGCGTGGGAGCAAAGCCAACCCAAAGGAAGCAGAGCAGGAATCTCGACCCAACCCCCCTGGCTGGAGGTGACAGCTCTGCTGCCCTCACATTTCAAGGTTTAGCTTCTCCCCAAACTTTTCCAGGGCTGAGCTCTGCCAGGTGCCACCATAAGCTGTGCAGAGCAGAGAAAGGACCCCTCAAGGTGCCCTCTCTGGTGGGAGGTGGCCACAGGGCCCTGCCCTGCTCTGCTGCAGGGCCCAGCAAGCTCAGATGTGTCAGCTCAGGTGTTGTCCCACAGCTGGGATGTGTCTGACCCCATTTCCCAACCCATGGAGCCCCAGCTTGGCCCTGGGGCTGGGTAAGAGCCCAGAGACCTTGGAGCCAGGTCCTCCCTGTGCCTGAGGAACCGGGGATTCAGGTGTCCAGGGAATTGCCAATGTCAATTACCCTGGGAACACCTCCCACCGTTCATTCCACACATGGAGACACGGAAAGCCTCACAATCCACTGGGTTCTATTTAGCGGCCTTATTTCCTCACTGGTCCTGGCAATCCCACCCTCTCCAAACCCCTTCCCACCCCAGCCACAAGTGTCTGCCAGGCTCTTCTGGAATCCCTCAGCCTTGGTTGTCACTGAGCCCCTGACTGGCCTACCCTGGGCAGGACCCACCCGTGCCGCAGCTCTTTGGGCAGCGAGTGAAGGCCTGCAGGACTCTCCCAGAATTCCTGTCCTGTGTATGGAATGGGATACAGTGGGATACGTGGAGCCAGCAGCCAGGGGGATAAGGAGTGGGAAGCTTCAATGGAGAGCCACCTTAGCTGGGAAGTCTGGCTGTTTGTGCTGTGTAATGCCAAGTCTGAATTCTCTAGCCAGCTCCAAAACCAGCCAGATGGATCAACCACGAGCCTTCGTCCAGCTAAATAAAAATACAGCAAAATTCACAGGATGGAGCCAGCTGGGTCTCAGCAGGTCCTAAACCAAGGATTGATTTGTAGCTGGAAGGATTGATCCAGGTGCTGCCAGGTAGGAGGAACCCCTCAGACACATCCTGTTGTAAAACATTCCCAGCAAACAAAGGATTTTCCTGTGGTCTGGTGCAGGGAATGAAGTCCCTGGCACAGGGACCTGCTCTGGCCTGGGGGCCGGGCTATCCCAGCCCCTGAATTAGTGCAGGGACACATGGGCACTGTCTCTGAGCAGCCCCCACCTGTCAGAGTCCCACTGGACAAACTCTGCTCCTTCCCCCCCCAGCTGATGTCAGAGCCCATCATGCCCGTGGTGATGATGATCTGAATCATTAAAGGCACCTTGGCTGGGGACATTTTGAGCCCCAGCCCTGGCTGGGCTCTGAGTAAGCACTGACGTGTTCCTGTCCTTATCCAAACCCAAGGCTGCTGTGGCTGTCTCACAAGAACGGGGATGTGCGGGATTTTTCCAGCACGGTCTGGTCTGAGTCAACTTATAAAGAAGACAAAAAGAGCAGAATTTCTGCTCTCAGCTGAGTCTGTGAGTGCTGAAAAGGCAAGAAATGAAAGCCCAAAGCAGATGAAGGAAAGCCAGGCTTATTTCTTCAGTAGCAGAAAAGACCAATTTATCTCTGCTCTGAGCCATGGTTTAGGGAAAATCTTGGTTTATGGACTGGAAGGGGTTGGAATTAAAAACCCCCTTGAGATTTAGGTCTGTTTTGCAAGGAGCTCCTGTTTTTATGGCAGGATGTTCTTGGCTGAGCCTCCATCTGGATGCTGAGCCAGGTCTATTGAAGTGAGCAGCACCTGAACATTAGGCAGCACCTGGGCTCTGCCTCCGTGCTGCAGGTTGCCAAGCACAGCCTGGTGGCACATGGTGGCACGGTGGCACCTGCCAGGGCCACGCTGGGCTCTGGGATAGCCCCGGGCACAGCAGTGAGGAGGAGCCTGGGGACACAGCTGTGCACAGCTGGGCCCTGTCTGTCCCTCTCCTCACCCCACCTCTGCTGGGCTGGGGAGCACAGCAGCCTTGTGGAGCTCACCCTGAGCCTTACCTGGCAGGGCCAGGAGTCTCTGGAGCTCTGTTTTCAGCCGGCTGATTTCCTTACAAAGCTGGATGTCGTCCATCCTGCGGAGACACAAACACAACCTCTGAGGGGGAAAACTGGGAGAGAAAAGGTTCAAAACCCCCAGAGCAACACCCAGCCAATTCCTGTGGTGGGGATCCCATATTTCCCTGCCTTCCCATGGGAAATGCCAGCTCGCTGCATCCCAGAGTTCTGTTGGGGTGCTGGTTGTTGGCAGAGGAAAATTTCATTACCTGAATTATAACAAAGCCTTATCAAAATCTGGCCCATCCACCAGACAAGAGCTGCTGTGCTTCTCCTGGCCCCAGAAAATAATCCCCAAAGAGCAAAATCCAAAAAGAAGTGGAATTTGCTGCCATAGAAAGGATCTTTTCTATCCCACCTTCCTGCAAAATTAAATAAAAGAAACATAGAAATGTGAAATATAACAGAGAGGGTGTCCAGAGCACCACGGGGGGGCCACAGGGACAACAGAGATTGCTGAGGTCACACTGATTAAAATGAAAATGAACAGTCAGACGAGAGCTGAATGATTATTACATTTAAATGAAATTAATTCTGGAAAATTTGATAAGGAGAATATAAAATAATAAATTTTATTTTCAATTAAAATTAGGAGGGGTTACAGGGACAAGCACGCAGGAGGCTCCTGCTGGGGCTGGGATTGTGGTGACACCTATGGCAGCATCAGCCGGAGCCAGGTGTCCCTGGCTGGTCTCAGGGAGCACTGAGGGACCAGGGTGGAGCTGAACCTCCCACAGGAATTACAGACCTTGCCTTTTGCTCTATAAAGGAGAAGTGTTTGGTGCCTCATTGTTTTCCAGAGCACAGACACCTCAGAAATGCTGGAATGTTTCAGTCTGACATTTCCAGCTAGGAGCAAGCACTGGTTTTTATCGAGCTCACTGCTCTGTTCAGCTGCACATCCTGGGAGTTTTCCATCTCCCTGGGCCCTGCAGTCCAGCCACCCTGAACATCACCTTTTCCCCGCACTGGGGAATCAAAAAAGGCCTTGCAACCCCAGCCTCCCACCTCTCTGAGCCCCTGCATAGCCCAGCTCTGGGATCCCCCTTCTTCAGCAGCAGTGCCCCAGGAAGCTCCTCAGCCTTCCCAGCCTCCCTCCTGGGCCCTGCAGAGCCAAGGTCGATTGCCCATCGCACCCAAAACCTCCCAGCCAGGCAATTCTGGCGTGTCCCAAAACCCACGGGATTGTTTTTGCAGCCAAGCCTGTCATGAGGTCTCTGCAGGAGATTTGCCTTTGGTTTCCAAGGGAGAAACCAAACAAAGCGTTAAGGAAACACCAGAGCTGGGAGCTTTGACAGCACCTGAGAGGATCAGGTACTGTTGCCATGGAAAGCCTTGAAGAGATACACTTTTGATGATTTCCAAAAATCCTCTTCAATGAGCTCAGGGGGAACTGTGCCCGGAGAGGCTCCAAATCCTCTAAGGCAGCTCCCAGCCCCACTCACAGCGGGTTTACCCAGGTGGTAAACCCACCCAGGTTGTGGGTCCCTCAGTGCAGGGACCAGTGGGGACCCAGTCACATCCAAAAGGCAGCACAGGAAGTGCTTCAGCCCAGGAAATGTCACCTTCGCCAAAATCCCCGTTTGTGCTGGGCTGGCAGGGTGGGATCTGAGGGTTGGGCTAACTACAGCCCTTTAGTGATATCAAAGAACTTCATCAACCCAAACTATGGATATTAGTCAGGCCTTTTCCTCCAAAGATTTAAAATGTCCTGCTAGACCCATGGAAAATGTCCTGTGTCCCCCTGAGTGGTGGGCACCACTGCAACACAGGGGCTTAGATCTGAAAAACCTGGAGAATTTTATTCCAGAACTTCTCTGATTATTGAAATGGAAGCAAGGTGGGAAGTAGCCTCAGCCCTGCTCATCTCTGGGATTGAGCTGTGCTTGGCCGGGCAGGAGGAGACCTGGGGTGTCCCTGGGAGGGAGCAGCACAGGAGGGGGACAGGGACTCACATGTAGCGCAGCTCTGACTCCCTGCGCACCAGAATCTCCCGGATCCGCTCAATCCTGAAGAGCTCTCCCTCGATCTCATCAATGGTGGTGGTGGAGTCGGCCATGGACACGATCTCGTCCTCTGGAAAAGTAATGGGAGCTTCCTGAGACAGCAGGAGCCCAGCAGGGACCTCAGGGCAGCCTTGGGAACAGCAGCACTTGCCCTGCTCCCAGGGCTGTGCCAGGCTCTGTGCTGTTCCCAGGGCTCTCCCCCTCTCTGAGCAGCAGGAGGCCAAGGGAGCTGGGAACTGCTGGAGGGAAGGATGGGAATGTCTTTTTCCAGAGCCGTGGAAGCCTCCAGCATGTCCAGCACAGAGACCTGAACCTGCCCAGCCCTCTTGGGCTGCACAACCAGGAGCAAACCCAGGGCACACAAAGCTTGGAGCTGAGGAGTCAGAGGGCTGAAATTCCTTCTGCTGCTCCCCCTCTACCACACGCTGGATCAACCCCCCCATCCTTCCCAGCCCACTGGAGTGGAGCCCCCCTGTTCAGCTCCCTCACCCTCTGCACTGCTGGGGATCACATCCAACCCCCACCTGGGGAAACTGAGGCAGAGAAAGGGGGGTCACCTGCTCAGGGTGAGAGGCAGGAGCTTCACCGAGAAATGTGGGATAAGGGGGCTGTAATTGATGTTTTAGAGGGATGGATAGGATGAAAGCCCATCCACCTCCATCTGTGGCTCTGACCAGCAGCTCTGGCTCCCCCTCTGTGACTCACACACAAATCCCACACGTTTGCTCCAGACTGGCCCACGGGTTTCCTCGTGGATGCTGTGTGGATCCCACAAAGACTCCCAGCCAGCTTTATGGGAAGAGCTGAGGATTTACTCCAGGCAGCTCCCAGCCTGGTCTGGCTCTCAGACACAACACTCAGCCTGTCACCAGCGTCAACACCTTCCTCACATCCCAGCTAATCCGACATTCCTGGGATGTGCTGGGGACAGGGGCTGCAGCAGAGCCAGGCTGTGGGAGAACATTTCCAAACCCTTCCAAATATTCCTTCAGGGGCTAAGTCTGCTTCCTTTGAACCTTCACTGGGCACACCTCCCCTCTGAGGTTTTGCCTTTCTGCAGCCCTGGGACTTTCCCAATGCAGGGAAAGCACGGCCATGGAGCTGCTCCAGGAGTGGGATGCCAGGCAGGGATGTTAGGAGATGTCAGGGTGTGTGGTGTGGGCATTCCAAGCAGGAGCCAGGCCAGTGCTGAGGGTTACAGGGCAGGAAGAGATAAACTCTAAGGCACAAGACCAAACAGTCTGCACTTTCTGTCCTCTCCTCATCACGTAACACTGCTCAGGAAATCATTTCTGGAGTGGGACACGTTTCCAAGACTTCCAGCAGGAAAGGTTTATTATGGAAATCTGATGGTTTGGATTCATGTGAGTGGTTTGGAGAAGAGTTTCCCACTGTTTCTGACTTGGAAACTCATGAGGACTTCTTGCAGGTTCTCTCTCTGCCCCCAGGCTCGAAGACCATGCTCAGCTGATGCCAGGGCGACTCCTCCCTCATTCCCTGTTCAGAGTGTCAGGATGCTCCCAGCAGCCAGTGCTTGCTCAGGACAGACAAACCCCTGGGCTGGGTGGGGTGTGAGGCTGGATGAGCCCTCCAGCAGCTCCTGCCCGGGCTCTGCACAACCACCTCCCTTTGCCTCGATTCCTGACCAGGTTGCCAAGGGACCGGCCTGTGGCTGCTACAGCATCACGATGTGGTTGCTAAGGGACCAGAGTGCAGTTGCTAGGGGACCAGGATGCCGAGGTCCCTCATCCCAAGTGCTCTGGGGCTCTGCTACCCCAAAGCTCCTCTGGCCTGGGATATTTTGCTGCAGCTGCACCCTGCTGAACAGCTGGGGATGGCCCAGGCAGATACTGGCAGATGTGCAGGTACCAGCACAGCTGGAGGGGCAGGTGGCACAGCTGGGATGTGCCTGTGGGCAGCCACTCCCTGGGGCTGTAGCTCAGCTCAGCCCCAGAGCTGTCATCAAAAGCTGCAGTGCTGTGTCCCCTCTGTGCCAGGGCTGGTGGCTGTCCCCGTGTGCCAATAAACACAGAGAGATCAGCCCGGAGCTTCCTGCTGCCTCCACCCCCAGGGACACACCGAGCAGCCCCGGGAGCACAGGGGTGGTGCTGGCAGGGGACGGTCACTCCCGGCCTGCCCGGCTGGGGAATAACCCAGAATGCTTCTGCTCTCTGCTGGTGAAATCACTGGCTGAGCTTCTCACAGGTATTCCCTGGGGGTGCCAGGGCTTGGAACAGCTGGCAGCATCCCTTTTCCTCCCTCTCATCCCAGAATGTCATTGGCACAAGCATTCCAGGTGGGAGAGGTGAATCCTCCCCTGTGTAGGCAAAGGGAGGAGGTGGCAGGACTGGAAGAGAAGGGAGTAAAAGGGCTGGGAGGGGAGGGGGTGACAGGGTTGGGAGGGGAGGAGGTGACAGGGCTGCTTTGCTTTCCCTCACCTGCAGCAGGAGGCTGGGATGTAATTCCAGCCCCTGGGCAGTGCCCACAAGAGCAGAAAAGCTCCTGGCTCAGCTCTGGGGTGTGTCTGGCACCACCCTGCCCTCACACACTGCTCCAAAATCACCTTTCTGTCCGATGCCCACCAGGTCAGGAGTGTCCTGGGACATGGGGACAATGGGAAGGTCATGACACAGCCCAGCCAGGGCCACAGGGCTCAGCTGGAGGGTGCCAGCCCTTGGCTGTGCCTTCAGGTGCTGTGCTCAGGTCCTGGCACCCTGCATCCCTCAGGCCTTCCAGGGAACTGCTCCCCAAACCAGTCAGTGCTGGACAAGAAGCTCTGACAGGACCTTTGTGTCCCTGGAGCTGCTGAATTCAGGGCAGAAGCAGAGGGAGGGCAGTGCCAGGAGAAAACTCCTGGAAAATGAGTCCCATGAACCCTGGGAAGGGGTACCTTGAGAAGGTGATACCCAAGGCAGGGTGTTCTTTGAAGCTGGGATCAAGCCCACAGTCCAAATCTTCCTTTGGGGATGGACAGGGATGGCTCCAAGTGTGGCCACATTGCCCAGGGGTCCCTTTGCTCCCACAGCACAGCCACACACAGAACCCCCACTCAGAACCCCACACAGAAACCCCCCAAACAGAAACCCCACACACAGAAACCCCACACACAGAACCCCCACACAGAACCCCCACACACAGACCCCCCACACAGAACCCCCACACACAGACCCCCCACACAGAACCCCCACACACAGACCCCCCACACAGAACCCCCACACACAGACCCCCCACACAGAACCCCCACACACAGACCCCCCACACAGAACCCCCACACACAGACCCCCCACACAGAACCCCCACACACAGACCCCCCACACAGAACCCCCACACACAGACCCCCCACACAGAACCCCCACACACAGACCCCCCACACAGAACCCCCACACACAGACCCCCCACACAGAACCCCCACACACAGACCCCCCACACAGAACCCCCACACACAGACCCCCCACACAGAACCCCCACACACAGACCCCCCACACAGAACCCCCACACACAGACCCCCCACACAGAACCCCCACACACAGACCCCCCACACAGAACCCCCACACACAGACCCCCCACACAGAACCCCCACACACAGACCCCCCACACAGAACCCCCACACACAGACCCCCCACACAGAACCCCCACACACAGACCCCCCACACAGAACCCCCACACACAGACCCCCCACACAGAACCCCCACACACAGACCCCCCACACAGAACCCCCACACACAGACCCCCCACACAGAACCCCCACACACAGACCCCCCACACAGAACCCCCACACACAGACCCCCCACACAGAACCCCCACACACAGACCCCCCACACAGAACCCCACACACAGAACCCCACACCCAGAACCCCCACACACAGAACCCCCACACACAGAAACCCCACAGTGCCTGAGCCAAAGGGATCCTGCTTGGCACCATTTTGGCCTGCCAAACCAAGGAGGGGAGAAAGCTTTGACAGAAATTTGGAGATGCTCTAACCATCACATCCAGCCCAGGGAGGGCCTCCTCCACTAATGAGGGGTGTAATAGCCAGAGACTTCCATTCCAGGTGGTTTGGGGAAAACATTTGGACAGCCAGCAGCAAGCCTGGGATGAGTCACCACAGCCAACAGCACAGGGTGAGTTTCAAGCAATTTTCTTCCTGATTAACGTTGGGAAATTGATTGACAGCCTCCTGTGGAGGGGTTAGAGCTCTTTATGGGGGCACCATCCCAAGAAGCCTCTAACTCAGCCATGTGTTTTCCTTTGCTCCTGACAGCAGCAGGGACAGGGGACGTTCAGCCCAAACTCCAGCAGGACAAGAGGCTCCAGGAGCTCAGTGCTGCATGCCTTGGTCTGAGCTTTCCTGGCTGGGAGCAAGCAGCAGAGCAGCGTCCAAACAGCAGCCAGGGATTACTGCCACGTTCTCATCCATCCCAAGGTCCCCAGGAGCTGGGAGCTCACAGAACTGCACTGAAACAGCAAAATCGCAGCCACCACAGCTCACAGGCACCCATGGGGGATGTCCAGGTCATACCCAGCACCCTGAGTCCAGTCCCTGGCCCACCCCGTTGTCACCCAGCTGCTGGAGCAGAGGATGCTGATGATGAAGGTTCTCAGAGCCCCACAGGAGGTGTGGCAGAGGATACACACTGCCAGGAAAGGCACAAAGAAAAAAAGGACCAAAACTTCCTACAGCTCACCCAGGAGCTGAGCAGCTTCCTGGGCACCACACACCCCCCCAGGCAGTACCCAGCAGGGTACTGGAGCTGGCTGATCCCTCCTCCCCTGCCTCTCCAGCTGCCTGTCCCTGCCCCACTGTGTGCAAGGGGCAGCAGAGGGGGACAGGGAAGGGGAGAGGTCGGACAGGGGGCAGAGCAGAGGGACTGCAGGCGCCTCCCCTCTGCACAACCCAGCACTGCGACCCTTCCTTCAAGGTCGAGAGCTCTGCTCAAGGCAATTCCCCTGCTTGGCATCCCCCGCTCTTCTCAGCTGGAGTCCTACTTGAGGAACTGGTCAGAGAGGGGCAAAGGCGGTGAAGGACAGGGTGAGCCCTCCTGTGCCCCGTGTGCAGCTGGGCAGCAGCAGTGAGATTTGACCGTGCTGCCCCGGTGTGTCCCTCCAGACATCCCCCCTGCCACCATCCATCCATCCATCCATCCATCCATCCATCCATCCATCCATCCATCCATCCATCCATCCATCCCCACTCCCTGTGGCCGCTATACGGGGCTCCAGCGGCACCAGTGTCCCGGTCCGGGGACCCCGGCTGGGCTTCTTTTGGTGGGTGAAGCCGCCGGTTCCCGGCCAGCTCCCTGGGCTCCGGATTGTCCCGGAGTCCCGGGGGCGGGGGAAGTTGGTCTCGGGAGATGCCGATCCCGGTACCGATCCCGGTGCCGTCCCGCTCACCTGGCCCCGCGCCGGCCGGCGGCCACCGGGTGGATTCCATGGATCCGTAGCGGGGAGAAGCGCGGCTGCCCTCCATCCGCAGCCCAGAGCCCTGCGCTCCGCCGGGGCGGGGGCTCGCACCGCTCCTCCCGCACCGCTCCTGCTGCTCCCTGCGCTCCGATCTGATCCTGCTGCTCCCTCCGCTCCTCCCGCACCGCTCCTGCTGCTTCCACTGCTGCTCCCACTGCTCCTCCCGCACCGCTCCCACCGCTCCAATCTCGCTGCTCCCTCCGCTCCGATCCCGCTGCTCCCGCCGCTCCCACCGCTCCCCCTCCTCCGATCCGCCGGGGCGGGGGCTCTCACTTATCCCACTGCTCCGATCGGTTCCACTCCCTCCGATCCCATTGTTCCCACCGCTCCCTCCCCTCCGAGCCCCCGCCTGCAGCCCCCGGCCCCCGCAGCTTCAGCCGGTACTGAAGGCACCCAAGCTCTGTGGGGAGGGACACGGGGTGCCAGGGGTAAGGCACAGCACCCAACAGCCCCCCAAACCTGCTGCTGAGCCAGGGCAGCTCTGCTTTCCGGTAGATACAAGTTTTCCCCATGGAAAAACCCAACAGAAAGAGTTTGGACAATGCTCCAAGGGCTGAAATCCAGCAGGACCCTGGTGGTCTCTCTTCATCCAGGGCGACAATGGCCAGTGCCACTGTCCTGAAGGCTGGGCCCAGCAAATGGGCTCAGGAAGGTGGGGATGGGTGTGCGTTGCAAACCCACGGGGGTTTGTGCTCCCAGAGTGCTTGGGTGAGGCTTTACAGCTGTGGAGGGACACACCTCAACACCCCCTTCCCCAAAACACACCGAGGGGACACACAAGCGTCCTCTGCTGTGACACTTCTCAGCCAGCAGGTGCCCGTAGGTGACACTGCTGTCCCCACGCACAGGTCCAAAGGCTCAGGGACACTTTGGGAAGTGCCACTGGCTGGAGAACAGGGACACAGTGACACCAGAGAGGGCTCTGGGGCATCAGCCCCTGCCCAGAACCAGCCCGTGGGCTCTGATGGCAGCAGCCTCACCTCCAGCCAGTGAAACACACACCTAAGCAAATCTTAGAATTCCCACCTTCAACAGCCAAAAAAGAGCTCTAGTCAAGTGATTTGGAGCAGAACATGTGCCAGAGAGATGGGGCTTCATTCTTTGAGGATACCAGTGGAATATAAACATAATGAGGAGGCAAAAATTAAGTCTCTGTGTAAAAACAGGGGTGGGGAAAGACAGGACATGGGAGCTGCTGCTCTGGGATAGAAATGCAGCAGCAGCTCCTTGCTCCAGAACTCTGAAAATGCAGATGCACCTCTCCCAAGAGCAGCACAAAACCAGGAGGCCATGGAGGTGGGCTGTGAGCTGAAAGGGTGGTCCTTGCCAAACAGGGAGTTCCAGTATTCCAGGGAATTGCTCAGGAATGCCCTGGGTTTGTAAGGACCTGCCAGGCTCCCAGCTGTGGGACAGGGCCACCCCGGGATTGGTTTGGGTGTTTGGATGTGCAAGGAAGGAGAGCCATGAAGTGGCTGCCTCTCAGCTCATTAAATGATGAGCACCCACCAGCCCTGGAACCAGCAGGGTTGCAGTGACTCACCTTGTTTTGGTCACTCTGAAGCGCAGAGAAAATGAACCTGTAAATATTTTAATCATTTTTTCAGGCAATTACTCTCCAGGATGACTTTCACTGTGAGCAGCCAGATCTGCTGGGGGCTGAATTTGAGTTTAATGCATTTTATACACTCACTTTATCCCTAATAAAAGCATAGGAGTAAATCAGGCAGTCCAGAGTCTCCCACAGTCAGGATACAATTCACACACCATTGGATCTGGTGGATGGGATGGAATCCTCCTGGGAAAATCCACAGTGTGGAGGAAAGTGTAGATTGGGGACAGGAGCAGCATGTGCTCCACACCTGACAGGAGCAGCCTGGGCTTCTTCCCTCGCCCAGGTTCTGGAATTCTGAGGCTGAGGAGATTCAATGGATCTTCCTCTTCTCCTTAGGGAGATGCACTCGTGCTGTGAACATGCAGGATTCAAGAGAATGCCCAAAGCTGAATGTCAATGTAATAATCTTGCACAAACAGGTGTTTTTTTTAAGGTTATCAATCCATTAAACACATTTGGTGCTGATTCAGGGAGCTCCAGGATGGACAGGCACCTGTCACTCCGAGGCCTCTCCTTGTGAAACTGGAATCCAGCAGCTGCTGCTGTGCTGAGGCAGATGGAAAGGGCACAGCTCTCCCAGGTAATCAGCTTCTAACGAGGGCAGCACTGGCAGCTGAAGCAGCAGCTGCATTTCAAACCATTGCAGCTCTTTCTGTGTCTCTTACAAAGGCTCTGGATGTGCTGTGTGCAGGGATGACTGAGTGCAGGCAGATCCCCATTAACTCGCTTTGTTCCTCAGGTATTACACAATAACAAGACCAGGAGAAATTCTTGACATCAAAATTGCTCCACTCGTGTTTGAATTCCTGGGAGAAGATAACATCTTAATAAAAAGTTCCAGCTATTCTTGGCACAGGACAATTCTATCTATAGAGCCATTCCAGCAGAGCATTGTGCTGGCACAGAGGATTGGTGCTGGGAAGAGAGAGAGCTAATTACCCTGAAAGCATCTGATGTACAGATAATGCGGGATTGATTCATACAGAGAAAGGAATTATCACCCAGGAGTCCTTTCCTTGTCTCCAGCGCTTCCTGCCGAGCCCACAACACGGCAGGGTGACACACTGCCAGGCCATTTGCATATGCCATATTAAATATGCATTTCCATAAATATTCTGCTTTTTGCAGCTGCCTGTCTGGGCACTTGTGAGCCACTCAGGCAGATGTTACTAAAATCCATCCTTCTTCACAGGAATGATGCGATTCCCTGACCAAGGAATACCTGATCAATTGACAGCAGCCTTTGCTGGTGGCTGAAGAGACTCCAAGGCTCATTTAAACCCCACTGAAGATTTTTTGATGACATCAGACCATCGATGTTTCATTTATAAGCAAAACTTACCTCCTGGAGAGCAGCTGAAATCTGTGCCTTGGAGGTGAAGGCAGGGTGGGGGTGGGTAAGGAGGCTTAAGCCAGGAATGGGTTAAAAGAGGAAGGCTGAAAGCCAGTGGCTTCCAGCTGGGAATAACCTGGGATAACTCCATGTGGAGGAGATCCTCTGGTATGGACCAAGTGCTGCTCTCTGCTTGTGCGCCTGTGCCCAGGTATTGCTTTGGGGGTCCCCTGGTTAGTGAGGGACAGAAATAAACTCCCCTCTCTCTTTCTGGGGTTGTGGCTGTCCCTGCCTGGCTGTTTCAGCAGCTCGAGGAGCCCTGCTCAGGATCCATCTGACCCAGGCAGGATCAGCTTCCAGCAGTGCCAGGCTGGACCGACACCCCATCCTGCCCTCCAGAAATTTGGGGCTCGGTCACTGCACAGGGCAGAAACTGAACCTCATGTTCAAGTGGAACTCCTGGGCATCCATCCCCAGCCACGTGCAAACTCACAACAACAACCAACTGGCAGTTTCAGCTTGGGTTTGTCTTAATTTCTTTAAATTGGCATTAAAAGGATTGCACCTTCTGGTACAAGTGATCCATGACACCTATACAAATAATTTATCATCCATCTATGTAATTTACAGCTGTACAGAACAAACTCTGGACACACAGCCCACACTCCAGCCCAGCTCAAAGCCTTTTGGCTTTTTGAGCATTTTCTTTGTGTGTACAAACCCCGCAGTGAAGCCCCAAAGAATCAGAGGGGCATAGAGCCACTGGTCACCCCTAAAACCCCACGTTATCACAACAACAACAGCTGCTTGTGCAGGGTTTCCAGATGTGCCTGTGAGCCTTCTGCCTCCCTTCAGCTTCCTTCAGGGACAGGATGTTTGCTGCCCAAGTCTGGCATAGGGGAGCACCAACAATGTTTGGGCTGTGAGGTGAAAACCTGATCCCTGCTGGGCTGTCAGTCATCTTCAAAATAAATATTGCTGCTGCCAGCTGCGCTGGGCTCCAAAGGACAGCCAGCACCACCTCCCATGGGTCTTCCTCACTCTTCCTGAATGGAGGAGCTCAAAGCTTTTGCCTGACTTGTGCAAAAGGTGAAAGCTCAGTCCTGCAGCTTGGCTGTGCCCTTGGCAGGGCATGGTCACACTGTTACCAGCAGGGCATGGCTGTGCCCTCTGAGCCTGTCCACCTCTGCTGGGGCAGCTCTTTACACCACTGCTGTTTAAAGTCACCACTGGCAGCTTTTAGTGTGTGTTCTCTTTCCATGTCCTCTGTGCTGACCCCACCTTTTTGTTTCCTTCACTGGATGACTCCTGCAAAAGTGTTGATGGGCAGCAGCAGAGACTTGGGCAGGTATTTCACAAGCCCCATGTCTTCTGTTTTGTGAAGGTTGAATTTCATGGTCTTTGTCTTCTGCAGGCAGTAGCTGGGCTCGAGGCAGGGAGACACCTCCAGGCTGGAAGAGCACAGAACACACTCACTGCATATTCAGGTCTAATCTCTGAGTGAACCCCAACTCTCTGCACTGTCTGATGCAGGAGAGCTCTCCCACTGCTAATTTTATGCTTTTTCCAGCTGGGTTTGATTGCAGAGATGAGCTGCTGCGTGTCAGTGTTTGACACAAACCCAAGGTCCTGAGACTGGCTCAGTGTGACTCAGGAATTCAGTTTGTTGGCTGAACCTTGATGCATCAGCACATCCCATGTCACTGCAGCTGCTCCAGGCACATTAATCCTGGCCATTTCCACAGGGCTGGGTCCTGTCCCCCACCAGCACCTGCTGGAGACCCCCAATGAGGAATGCAGGCAGTGCAGAGAGCATCAGCATCATGATATAATTCATAATTCAGGAGGTCTAAGCTCTGTTTGTCCCTGGAGGTGCCTGCTTTTCTACTGTCTCAATGACAGCACCTTTTCTGCAAAGAACTGTTTTGTTCCTCACACCTTCACCTGAAAACACAAATGCAGGAGAGCCCCAGTGTGCCCTGCTTTCCCTGGAGAAGGAACATGAGGTTTTTGTCATGTATGAGGATCAGGGCTCCCTGGCAGACAGTGGGGGTGCAGGGCAGATGTGCAGAGCCTGGCACCCCAGTTCTCACCCGATCACATCCCTGTAGGTTCTCCTGCTGTCCTTGTCCAGCCGCACCGTGAAGGGTCTCTGCTCTGGGCTCCTGATCTTGACAGTCCGTGCTTTGAACCTGTTTGCCACGGCCTGGATGGGGAGAGGAGGGAGAGCCTGCTGAGGTGTCCCTCCCCTCCCCGGACTGCGTGCTGGGTGTGACAGGAACAGAAAATGACATTTCTCTGGTTTTCTTTTTCAGCCTCAGATGTGACAAAAAGCGAATCCTTCCTCTGCACTCAGAAGCTGGCCATGTTCTGAAAGGACAGACTTTCCAAACTGGCAGTGTTGGCTGAGTTTGGGATGTCTGCTGTGGGGTGTGGTCTGTTCTCCATGGCCATGGAGTATCTCTGTGGACAGTGGGGCTGCAGCACCTCGGTATTCCCAAAAGCCAGGTTAGAATGAGCAAAATGTGCTGGCTAAAAACACCAGCTGGGAGCCAGGGGCCCAAATGACAAGGCACACTAATATTTAATGCCATTGAAACTGCAGTGGCACATTACCACGGGCAGTGTCTCCTCTGGGGTCTGCTGAAACTCTCAAGTAAAACAAAAAGGACACAAGTCAAAATTTCAATCCTCACTCTTACAAATGCATCTTTGTGAGCTGATAAATAGATTCAGTGAAGTTCCTGTTTCTTGGCACTGACCAGCAGGGATGACCCTGACCAGCAGGGATGACCCTGACCAGCAGGGATGACCCTGACCAGCAGGGATGACCCTGACCAGCAGGGATGACCCTGACCAGCAGGGATGACCCTGACCAGCAGGGATGACCCTGACCAGCAGGGATGACCCTGACCAGCAGGGATGACCCTGACCAGCAGGGATGACCCTGACCAGCAGGGATGACCCTGACCAGCAGGGATGACCCTGACCAGCAGGGATGACCCTGACCAGCAGGGATGACCCTGACCAGCAGGGATGACCCTGACCAGCAGGGATGACCCTGACCAGCAGGGATGACCCTGACCAGCAGGGATGACCCTGACCAGCAGGGATGACCCTGACCAGCAGGGATGACCCTGACCAGCAGGGATGACCCTGACCAGCAGGGATGACCCTGACCAGCAGGGATGACCCTGACCAGCAGGGATGACCCTGACCAGCAGGGATGACCCTGACCAGCAGGGATGACCCTGACCAGCAGGGATGACCCTGACCAGCAGGGATGACCCTGACCAGCAGGGATGACCCTGACCAGCAGGGATGACCCTGACCAGCAGGGATGACCCTGACCAGCAGGGATGACCCTGACCAGCAGGGATGACCCTGACCAGCAGGGATGACCCTGACCAGCAGGGATGACCCTGACCAGCAGGGATGACCCTGACCAGCAGGGATGACCCTGACCAGCAGGGATGACCCTGACCAGCAGGGATGACCCTGACCAGCAGGGATGACCCTGACCAGCAGGGATGACCCTGACCAGCAGGGATGACCCTGACCAGCAGGGATGACCCTGACCAGCAGGGATGACCCTGACCAGCAGGGATGACCCTGACCAGCAGGGATGACCCTGACCAGCAGGGATGACCCTGACCAGCAGGGATGACCCTGACCAGCAGGGATGACCCTGACCAGCAGGGATGACCCTGACCAGCAGGGATGACCCTGACCAGCAGGGATGACCCTGACCAGCAGGGATGACCCTGACCAGCAGGGATGACCCTGACCAGCAGGGATGACCCTGACCAGCAGGGATGACCCTGACCAGCAGGGATGACCCTGACCAGCAGGGATGACCCTGACCAGCAGGGATGACCCTGACCAGCAGGGATGACCCTGACCAGCAGGGATGACCCTGACCAGCAGGGATGACCCTGACCAGCAGGGATGACCCTGACCAGCAGGGATGACCCTGACCAGCAGGGATGACCCTGACCAGCAGGGATGACCCTGACCAGCAGGGATGACCCTGACCAGCAGGGATGACCCTGACCAGCAGGGATGACCCTGACCAGCAGGGATGACCCTGACCAGCAGGGATGACCCTGACCAGCAGGGATGACCCTGACCAGCAGGGATGACCCTGACCAGCAGGGATGACCCTGACCAGCAGGGATGACCCTGACCAGCAGGGATGACCCTGACCAGCAGGGATGACCCTGACCAGCAGGGATGACCCTGACCAGCAGGGATGACCCTGACCAGCAGGGATGACCCTGACCAGCAGGGATGACCCTGACCAGCAGGGATGACCCTGACCAGCAGGGATGACCCTGACCAGCAGGGATGACCCTGACCAGCAGGGATGACCCTGACCAGCAGGGATGACCCTGACCAGCAGGGATGACCCTGACCAGCAGGGATGACCCTGACCAGCAGGGATGACCCTGACCAGCAGGGATGACCCTGACCAGCAGGGATGACCCTGACCAGCAGGGATGACCCTGACCAGCAGGGATGACCCTGACCAGCAGGGATGACCCTGACCAGCAGGGATGACCCTGACCAGCAGGGATGACCCTGACCAGCAGGGATGACCCTGACCAGCAGGGATGACCCTGACCAGCAGGGATGACCCTGACCAGCAGGGATGACCCTGACCAGCAGGGATGACCCTGACCAGCAGGGATGACCCTGACCAGCAGGGATGACCCTGACCAGCAGGGATGACCCTGACCAGCAGGGATGACCCTGACCAGCAGGGATGACCCTGACCAGCAGGGATGACCCTGACCAGCAGGGATGACCCTGACCAGCAGGGATGACCCTGACCAGCAGGGATGACCCTGACCAGCAGGGATGACCCTGACCAGCAGGGATGACCCTGACCAGCAGGGATGACCCTGACCAGCAGGGATGACCCTGACCAGCAGGGATGACCCTGACCAGCAGGGATGACCCTGACCAGCAGGGATGACCCTGACCAGCAGGGATGACCCTGACCAGCAGGGATGACCCTGACCAGCAGGGATGACCCTGACCAGCAGGGATGACCCTGACCAGCAGGGATGACCCTGACCAGCAGGGATGACCCTGACCAGCAGGGATGACCCTGACCAGCAGGGATGACCCTGACCAGCAGGGATGACCCTGACCAGCAGGGATGACCCTGACCAGCAGGGATGACCCTGACCAGCAGGGATGACCCTGACCAGCAGGGATGACCCTGACCAGCAGGGATGACCCTGACCAGCAGGGATGACGCTGACCAGCAGAGGTGACACTGACCAGCAGGAAGCCCATTTGGGGCTTTGGCTCAAACATTCAGACTTTTCCATGGAAAGCAACTACCAAACACTGTCTGAGCAGGGTGGCCCCAAAGCCCTCTCCTCCCCACAGGGCTGCCCCTTTCCCTGCTGCTGTAAGGGATTGTGGCCCCTGAGGGCCTGAGCCATGAGTACTCACTGAGAAGGACCGTCCTGCCAGGTTGTTGATCCTGATGATTTCGGTGATGGTCACACTCAAACAGCCCAGGCCTGTGACAGAAGCAGAGGGCTGGTCTGGGGCCACAGCACAGCCTCAGCTCAGCTTTCCGGGGCTCTGCCCCACATTTGGGTGCAGTGCCTGTGGACACACAGGGCTCCAGCAAGCTCCATGGGCAAAGGAACTGTGTGGGATCATGTCAGGGTGGAAAGCTGTGCTAAGGGCCAGGTGAAAGAGGAAGGCTGGAGCAGAGGGAAGGTGTTTAAATCCTGTCTGAGCCTCAGGCACGTCATTCCTGAGAAAACCCCAACCAGACCATGAGGACACCAATATTCCTGTCACTGATTCCCCCCACCCCACAGCCCAGACACAGCTGGCACCAAGGACCTGGCCAGATTTACTCCACTGAGCACCAGAAACCTCAGCAAAGCAGGAAGAACCCACCTTCAGCCTCTTCAGCAGGGATGGCTTTCATCAGCAGGCCTGTGGAGCGCAGGGCCAGGGCCAGCTCCTTGTGCCGGTCACTCAGCACAACCTGTGGGCAAGGCCAGTGTCCTGTCAGTGCCCCTGGCAGGGGCTGGCCGTGGGGTGGCTGTTCCAGAGGACAGCCTGGAGAGCAGTTCCAGAGGTTCCAGAGGAAAGAGGGAGGGTCAGACTCCCTTCAGGAGGTGTGTGCCCTGCTGGGCATCCCTGGGAGCAGAGACACTTGGGGTGCAGGGAGCCTCACACACCTTCCTGTAGGTCACGGTGAGATCGATTCCGGGGCCGTCCAGGCTGCTTTTCCTCTTGGTTGTGCTCAGGTCTGTGAGGAGGGAACTGGGTGGGATTCAATGTCCCTCATCCCACCTGTCTGTGCTCAGCAGAGAGGGATCCTCCCATGGGCTGAGCTGCCCTCGTGTCACACAGTGGCCTTCTGTCACACTTTGTCCCTTCTGTCCCTGCCCTGGGAGCTGAGGCTCTGTGCCAGCAGGACAGACTCACTGCAGGCTCTGTGCCCAACCTCAGTGACAAATATCCGCTGGACTGGACACCAGAGTGCACTGATGGAGGTGCTGATGGGACTTCTGGAACAGTCCAGCCTTCAAGCACTGTTGTTCCATCCCTGGCAACTCGAGGAACTGGATTTCTAACCAGTGCCTGTGAAGCCCAGCTTGTCTCCTCAACTAAATCAGAGCTCTGGTCCAACTAAGTGTCCTGGAGCCGACCAAAGGCACAGACTACAAACCCTGGCTGAGCCTAGGAGCCAGCAGCCACCAGGTCTCCATTTAGCCTGATTTCCTGACTCCAGGAAGGAGATGGAGGCATTTGGGGAAGTCCTGTGAGGAACAAGGAGTACTGCCCAAGGCCTGGAGCTCTGCAGGCTGAGGGATTGGGGGGTGCAGCAGTCCTGTCCAGGCTGGGGCTGGGGGGACGCACACACCTCTGTGTGAGGGGCTGTCCTGCACCTGGGTCAGCAGCTCTGTGAGGAACACGTCCTCAGCTGGGTCCTGCGCTGGGTCCCGAAACAGGACCTGGAAGAGAAGAACATCCCTGGGAGAAACATTCCTGAGAGGAACATCCCTGAGGGGAACATTCCCATCCCTGACAGGAACATTCCTGAGGGGGACATTCCCATTCCTGAGGGGAACTTCTCTGACAGGAACAACCCTGAGGATGTCTCCTCTGTCCCCCTGAGGTGTCACACGAGGCTCGTAGCATGAACAGCTTCTCCAGAGCAGCCAAGGGGAGCCGGGACCTTTTCATGGCACTTAGGGCTCCTGTGGGACAGGGGAACTGCCCTGGCTCTGCTTCCTGAGCTCCAGGAGTATGGCAGGATTTGCCAGGAGCCACGGGGACCTGGCCAGACGAGCCACGGGCAGTGTCCCCTGCCACTGGATGTCACTGTGCCCTCAGAGACGAGTCAGCTCCCAGGCACACACCCACATCACCGGGGGCACTTCCCCAGGCCCAGCTGAGCTGCTGCTGAGCTCCAGGGGACATAGTTTCTCTCTGTTTCAACCTAAATCGCCAGATCACTCCAGCCCTATGGAATATTTTCTTTTCATGGGCTTGTGTTGGGCAAGAGGTGAAGAGCAGGTGCTGGAGAACCTGTCCCAGGCACTCCTGGCCCCAGGGCCAGCTCCTGTGGGATGTGGCTCGCTCCTGTGGGCAGCTTCCTGCAGCCAGAGAGGAACAGGGGGCTCCAGCCCAGGAGTGAAACTGGGGCAGTGTTGGCAGCCTCAGCCTGGCTGGCAGGAGGGCAGCTCAGGGGCCTCTATCTGAAAACCACATCTGGAGCCAGCTCCTCTTCCCCTGCCTGAATCACCTACGCTCTCACTGCCCAGTTTCACCCTGGAGGAGATATGACTGCAAGACAATTTCACCAGAAAACCAAAATGCCCAGCCACAAACCAAGGCCCAGGTGCTCCAAGAACTGACAGGCCATGGGTTATGAGTGAAGTCCTGGGGATGCTCCACCAGGAATTAACAAAGCTCTTTGCAAGCCTCGTGCCAGTTTGCTCATGCTGGGGCTCCTCGGGTGCTGGAATAGGTGCAGTGGCTGTGAGCAGATTAAAAGTGCATCAGTGCATCAGCCTGAGCTTTGGAGGGGTTGCCAGGGCTGCCAGAGCTGCCAGAGGAGCAGGGAGGGGAGGGTTAATATTGTGTGCTTGAACTTTGCCCTTCTTTGCTCTCCTATCAAGTGCCAGGCCTCGCTCTGATACCATTTCAGAGCAAAGCTGGCAGGAAATAAATCAAATGGTGCTGCAGGAAACCCTGCAAAGCCCCTGCAGGTACAGGCAGGTTTGGGCAAAGCTGCTCAGCAAAGCCCTGTTGGCTCCCAGCATCTAAATCAGGAGGAGGTACCAGGGCCCCTGAGCACCCTGAACCCAGCAGAGCAAGAAGTCTCTGACCCTGTGGGGGATTTCAAAGCTCCCTTGCTGAGCTGAGATCCTGAAATGGCCTCACCAGGATCATTGGCTCCAGCCGAGCTGAGCTCCAGGGTCAGCGGCTGTGGGAATGGGCAGGGAGGGCTGGGCTGGAGGGAACGGGAATCTCTGCCACAAGCCCCCCGACCCCCTGGCTCTGCACAGCTCTGCCAGCACTTGTGGGGGCACTGAAGGCCTGGGGACTGTTCCAGCTGTGCCACCCACCTTGACAGAGTGAACCTGGAAGCAGACGGGCTGGGTGCCCATGCGTGCGTAGTAGGCGATGACATCGGTGAGGAACAGGTCGGTCACCAGGGCCCTGCTCGGTGACGATGGCTGGGGGGCAAATCACAGGCTGGGTCAGCCCCTGCCACTTCTCAGAAACCCCACCACAAAGCCTCAAACCTTCCTGGACTCAGAGTGAGGGATGAGCTGTCCTCTGGCCTTGCCACTCACACAGAGTGGGAACTGCGCCCACCTCTCGGCCCTTTTTGTGCAGGCTGTCAGTGGAGGCTCAAACTGCCAGGAAATGAGAGCTGGGGGATTTCAGCAAAAGTTTTCTTTCTTGAAATCTGCAATTTCCTGTCCCCTGGTCAGAAAACCCATCACAGCAAATGGCTCTTGTGGGCTGGGACAGTGTCAGATACCAGCACCTCCTGGCAGGGCCCTGGCGAGGGTTTGCAGGGAGAAATCTCTGGGGATGGAGAGCCCAGCAGGGCCCTGGGGAACGTTTGCAGGGAAAAATCTCTGTCTGGGGATGGAGAGCCCTGCAGGGCACAGACCCTCTCCTCAGGTGCTGCAGGTGTTTTTGGGAAAGGGGAAGGCTTTCCTCGTACCATGCTGGCCAGCTTGGGGATCATGTGGCACAGAGTGTTGATGTTGCTCTCGTACCAGGGGTCAGCCCTGCCCAGGTACCCGGCCACTTCACACAGCCCCTCAGGGCCAGCAGCATCCTGCAGGGGAAACACAGCTCACAGTCACTCCAACCCGAGGATTGTTTGCTTTTCCTGGGCTTGTATTGAGCAAAACATGAAGAGAAGGTCCTGGAGAACCCCTCCCAGCCACTTCCAGCCCTAAATCCAGCTCCTGTGGGACTTGGTTCACACTTCTAGGAAGCTTTCTGCAGCCAAGGAGGAATGGGAATTCATCATATCAGGAGCCATAAGGAGCTAGAGAGACCTGTGACATTCCCCCATCCCTGTCCTTTCCCTGCTCCATCCAGAGAAGCTGGCAAACTCATTTAGCAGATGCTCCAGCACAAAACTTCTGTGAGGAATGAAAAAAAGGAATACTGATCTTTTAACAGCCTGTTTGTCAGGGGTCACAGCCAGCTCTGGGCCAGCTGAAAATATCCTAAATGCAATTGTTCATTTACCTCCGTGTCGAGGCTGTCAGAGGGGAAGGGATGTGACTGACATAAACCGCGAGTAGAGACTCACAGACCTAGAACTGGGGCCATGGCCAAGGGGGCAAAGTCCTCAATGAGCAGCAACTGCTTCCCCTCAACATTTGGGAGGTAGGAAAATCATCAGTCCTTGGCTAAACTTCATGGATCCTCCTCTGCTGAGGCCTGGAAGCAGGACTGAAGGACCGAAGGAGCTGACACCCCAAAATGAGCCCAGCAGCTCCATGTTGGCTGGGACCAGGCAGGAATGGGCAGGAATTCCTGGATCCCCCTGCTCCTCCCCAAAAAACCCATCCCCTGCCAGGCCCTCACCGCAGCAGCCGAGGGGTGTCCTGGCAGCACAGGGATGTGGTAGAACTGCAGGTTCAGCCTGGGAGTCAGGAACACTCGCCGGGCTTCCCGTTTCCTGAAATGAAAAATGAGATGTGCCAAGGGAAAGGGGCAGAACGCATCTCCTGGGCAAGGCTGGCCAGTGCCAGGACACTGCAGCTGCTCTGACATGTGCCCCCCTCGCTGCCTCCTTTCCCAGGACGTGCCCTGGCTTCCCCAGTCAAGCCGGGGGAGGTGATGGGGAGCCTCAGAGAGGTTTTTGTCAGGGCCCGGTGTCCCTGTGCACCCAGCTCTGCTCCCCAGGCTGCCCACACTGTCACCCACCCCCAAGCCTGGGGAACAGCTTCTCTGTAGAATGTTTCCCTTTGGCATGGGAAAACACCTTGCCTCATTTAACTGAGCCCAGGGACAGAGTGGAGGACTCACTGTGTGCATCACCTGAGCCAGGAGAGCAGCCAGTGGCAGTCGAGTGCATTTGGGAGCCAAACCCCCAGGACCCAGCCTGCCCCAGGTACTACCGAGCCCAACCCCGTCCCCAGCCCCTGGCTGTTCCAACAACCTGCAGGGCAAAGCAGCCACGCAGTCCTGCTGCCCGCAGAGCACAGGTGGCCGCAGGTACCTGAGGGAGTGAAAGGCTTGTGCCAGGCGGCCCAGGATGCGATCGTCTCCCAGCAGCATCACACGGGCGGTGTGCCGCCTCTGGAGCGGGGCCAAGGGCTGCGGGGCCGTCCCTGACCTCCTGGGCTGCTTCCCGGGGGGCTTCCCTGCAGGGACAGCGCTGCCAGCCTGCAGCAAGGCCACGCTGTCCAGCGGGGACAGCTTTTTCTTGATGCCGCCCTTCCTGTGGAGCCGGGCGGGCTCCGTGTCCGCGGCGCTGGGCTCGTCCTGCGCGGGCAGGTCCCGCTCGATGCCGCTGTCGGTGGACAGCACGGAGAAGCGGCTCTGCTCGCAGCAGCCACAGCCCGCAAGGATGTCCTGCATCTCCGTGGGATCCAGCTCCTGGCCCAGGCAGTCGGGCTCACAGCTCTGCGACAGCGGACGGAGGAACAGCACCAGCTCCTTCCCTGCGGGCACGGAGCGGCTGCAGCAGGGAGAGCCAGCAGCGCCAGGCTCAGCCCTGTCCTGCTGCAGCTTCCCCCCTCCCAGCGAAACCGCAGAGCTGAGATCTCCGCCGGCGGCTCCAAGAGCAGGCAGTCCCATTTCCCATGCAGAGAGTTCAGTACCACCCCAATACCAGAATCCCAGAATCCCGGACTGGTTTGGGTTGGAAGGGAAGATCATCTCGTTCCCATCTCTGCCAAGGGCAGGGATGCCTTCCACCAGACCAGGCTGCTCAGAGCTCCATCCAGCCTGGCCTTGGGCACTGCCAGGGTTCCAGGGGCAGCCACAACAAAGTCAGATACTCTGGGCATATCCTGCTGCAGCCCCAGCTCCTTCACCCCTTCACACCCCAAAGCCCCTGGCCTAGCCCCAGAAGCCCTCAGGGCTAGAGCAGTTAGCACAAATCTCCATGAGTTTGGCCTCGGGACAATGGTTCTAAAACTCCCTACCGAAGGTCAGGGCTAAGTGACCCCTCTGGGACACTGACCCTCGGGCTCAGACTGCCCCCCAGCTCCCCCCAGGCCCAGGGCACTCACAGAGCTGCTCATCTTCTGTCCACAGGTGGAAGCTGATGTTGGGGTTGGGCAGAGGAGTCCCCTGCAGCCCTTCCTGGGGAGCATTCCCTGGGAAAACAAGGATGCTTGGGGCACATGGCAGCATTTCCCCACACAGGACCACGAACCCCCGGAGCTGATGCTGGCTGAGGCAGCCCTGGGGCTCTCCCACCCCAGTGCTCCTGGCCAGATGTGAGCCTGTGAGGCCTCTGCTCTCACAAATTGAGCCATCACAAAGTGTCTACCCCATTGGTGGGAGGGAGAAATGAAAAGGGGGAAACAGGGGCACGGGCAGAAGTGAAGGACCTCGCTTGGCAGCCAGCAGAGGGATTGCAGAATAAACATTCTTCCAATGCACGTGGTGATCTGAACCCTCTGACCCCACCAGCACTGGCTCTTTTAACTCATGAGAGCTCTGTGGCAATAGTGGGACAATTTAACACTCACCACCCCCTAAAAAGTGATGGTCCTCTACCCCCTCACCACCCACAAAAGGTGATGGTCCCACACCCCTCCCGGCACCACCAGCTGTTCTTCCCAAAATCCTGCACTGGGACATTCTCCTGCCTTCTGGAGGAGGTTGGGACACTGGGAGTAGCCAGGAGAGGAACCATGACCCCATTTGCCTCTGGTTGTCCCAGATCTCTGTGAGGAGATGAGAAGGGTTGGGATTTTGTTGTAGTTTGTGTAGCCCCAGTGGCACCAGGCTGGAACAGAGCATGGTAGGGATGGCAGGAGGTGGCAGTGCCACCATCCAGCACATCAGAGAAGGGTTTGGGCAGGAAGGGACCTTAAAGCCCTGAATCAGCAGCAGGAATTTCCATTGTCCCTCTCCTCAGTCACAAATCTGCCTTCCAGGGCTGGTTCTCCCTGCTAGCCACAGGGTCACACAGGGAGCCTGCTCCTGCTGCTACAGGGGATGGCAAGGACACAGTGGGGACACAAGGGTTCCCTGTCCCAGAGCAATGTCTGGCTGGGGCTCACCTGCAGGCAAGGAGCCCAGGAGGCCATGGTAGATCCTCTCCAGCCGCGCCGTGTGCTGGCCCCGGTCCGAGCCCCCCTCACTGGCTGTGCCCTCCACGGCCACCACCACCTGCTGGAACCAGTGCTCCACATCCCCTGGGGCCAAGGCCTGGTGGGAGAGGGGCTGTGAGCACCTGGAATCACGTAGGGTCGCGACAGGGGCAGAAAGAGCAAATGAGTCCTGCAAAAATTGTTTCTTAGGCACACACAAAGGTCCTGTTGTGCCCAGGAGAGATGCTGTCTGTGCCGGCTGCTTAAAACTCCTTTTCTGGCAGCTTTGCAGCTGATGGGCACCGTGTCCCTTGGGGCACCCTCAGCAGTGCTGGCACTTGGGGTGACTCTTGGGAGAAGGGGACACCAGGCACACAAACTGTCCTTGGGGTGGAAATTGCCAAGAGCCCCTGCAAAGTTTCTGAGCCAGCCATTTGTGTTCCTGTGGCCCCACAGCTCCTCCCAGGAGGTTCTGGAGAAAACTGATTGGAACCTTTTCCCTGAGAGGTTCCTGCAGTGCCCAGGAGCCCTCAGAGGAGATAACAGAGGCTCTGTTTCAGCTCTGCTGGGCAAAACCAACACTCAGACTAAAGGTTCCAAACTCTGGCTCTGCTGTAGCCACTGCTTTCCATTCAAAGGAAAACTCATTTCCATTTGAGTTCAACCCCAGCCCAGCTCTGGGGCTGCTGGGGCTGTAGATCAGCATTGAGGAGCTGGGGGCTTTCTCCACTTGCCAAAACACCTGTTGTTTCTCCAAGATGTCCAGCCAGAGCAGGACCATTGGAAAGGCACCAGAGGAGCTGCTGCATTACCTGGAGTCGGGCCCTGAGGCCGTGGATGTCGCAGGTGTCACCCAGGGCCGCCTGCAGGGCGTGGGTGACCACGCAGCTCATGCAGCCCCGGGGGCTCTGGGACACTTGTGCTGCCTCGGTGTCGGTGACCAGCGCATTGCAGATGGCTTCAGGCAGCAGCTCTGGGTCAGCAAAGATGAAAATCCTGGGGGGGCAGCAGGGTGCGGAAAGAGGGAGATGCAGACTCGCATCACCCACATCAGGGCTGGCAGAGCAGCTCACGTCTCACTTTTGCCATTGCTGCTGTTGATATGCCCATTCTCTACCCTGTTTCCCCCCACAGGGGCAACTCCCTGCCTCCCAAAATAATTTGGGACACAGGAGGAACGTGCCCTCCCGACGCAAAGTGTCACTGAAATGTGAAGGATGTGGACGTCACCCACTTGTGTCCCCCAAGACCACATGGTTTAGGCCCAGGTTGTCTGTTCCAACCAAGACTAATTCCAAGTGTTGGAAAAGGACAGGTTTCCCTAAAAGACCACAAAATGAAAGCACCAACCCCTCCAGAGAGGAGCACTCACTTCTCCTGGTAAGGGAACGGGGCGCTCCACAGGCTCTGCTCGGAAATGACCATTCTTTGATACAAGGTTCCTGGGAAGGGCACAAGCACATGGAGTGAGAGCAGCAGGAATAACGCAGCTCTTGGGGCAGGTGTAGAGGCTGAGGTGGCTCTGCCATGTCGGGGAACACCCACTGAGATGAGGTCAAACAGCCAAGAATTGGGCCAGAGCTAAAAACAGCCAAGGACAAAGGCCAGGCTCCAGAAAAAGAAACCTCCTTCTATTCTGGGATGATTTCCTGTGTTTCCCTTCCTTTGTTTAGGGCATTATGAGCTTGAGAGTGGAGTTGGAGGCAGGAGGAAGAGCTCTGTCCCCAGGGCCACATGGGCACCATATTTGGGGCATCTGAGAAGCACCAGGGATCTCTGGATCAGGAGAGAGGCACTTCCCCCTCCCCCTGCCCAGGGGTGAGGATCCATCCACCTGCCCTGGCTCAGGGACAATCCTGTGCATCCTGTGCTGCTCGGAGAGGAGCCCTGCTGGAGATGCCCTCTCTCCACCCTGAACCACTCCTGTACCAAGAATCAGGGGAGATAGAGGTACCCCTTCGAGCTGCAGCCAAAGCAGTGCCAGGGCAGAGTGGTTGGGGTGGGCTGAGACTCCCCAGAATGGCACCAAAATTCCCCACCAGGTTTCTCCTGTTTCACCTCCCCCTCACAGGGTGTCTTCACCTTGCTCTGCTCTAAAGGACTGCTTTGAAAGGCTCCTATTAAGGAAAACTCTAACTAGAAGAACTTGAATGAGAATGGACAGAAAGAACACAGGGGGAAAAGGAACCAGGTGTCCTTGGGTTTGCTTCCTATGTGGGGTTCTTCCCTGCAGCCAGCACTGACATCTCAATGTCCACGGGGCTGGTTTAGAGCTGATTTTCTGCAGGCCAGCCCTCAAGGACCCTCAGTGCCAGGCTGGGACAGGGGCACCCCCTTACCTGGGGCTGTCCTCTCCACCTGCAGCCTGCTGGCATAGTCCAGCCCGATGGTGCAGAAGGGCTTGGGCAGGGTCAGCAACCTCTTGCAGAAGTCATAAACCCTGGCACAGAGCTCATCAGGGATGCAGGGAGCCTGCAGGAGGACAGGGAGGGGACAGGCAGTGATCCCTAAATCCCCTCCAACAGTACTCCTCCCTAGGGCTGGGAGGGCACCAAATTCCCTGCACCAAATTCCCTACGGTTTTAAATGCGAAAAACAGAGCAGAATTGGACCCTGCAGTGGTTTGGGAACCTCCAGCAATACCCACTGGAGGTTGGGGACACATTGTTTTTGCCAGGTTGTGGTTTCCTGCACCACCTCCAGAGAAGGGGTCAGGTGGAAGGACCTGGCACAGTGTGTGCCACAGGGACACAGGGAATGCACAGCTGAGCCCACCTGGGACTGAACCAGGGCTCTGCTGGTTCTCAGTGGCTGTTCCAGGTTGTGAGTGGCTCCAGGTGGCCTCTCCTGTGGCCCGTGATGTGCCTGGATGCTGCCCCAGGCCAGTGTATGGAAGCACAGCTCACCTGCATGGAGGCACAGCTCACCTGGATCAAGGTGTACATCAGCGTGTGCAGCAGGGGGATGATGTAGTGCCGCAGGTCCCCTCGCTCTGCCTGTGGACAGGGGGCAGGGAAGGCACAGTCAGGTCCTGGCAGGATGCTGGGCTGGGCAGGAGCAGCCCCAGAGTCCCCAAGGTGTGCCAGGTTCTGTCTCTGAGCACGGGAATTCATCCTGGCTCGAGGGTGACCCCTGAGTCAGGGTGGGGTTTGGGATCCCTCCCCAGGCTTTTAGGGTGGGCAGGATGTCCCTGGGGAGGGGCACAGAGGATAGTGGGAGACGGTGAGCATTAAGGAGCTCCTTTCCACTCCCATGGGACCACAAAACCTCTGGAAAAAGCCTGGCTTGGGTTTGGAGGGAGCAGAGGGAACAGGGAGGTGTTCCCATCCCTTGTCCCCATCCCTGCCCATGGGAATCCAGGGGATGCTCCAGCCCCTCCTGCAGCCCTGACTGGCTCTAGCAACAGCTTCAGCATAGGGATTGCCCCTGGATAAACTTGGGAAAGAGATTCCCAGCCCAGAGATAATTCTGGCCCCTCTCCTCAGGGCTGCTGAGCTCTGATGGGTCCGAGTTAAACGGAGCTGATGGCAGCAAAGCCTGAGAAAACATCGATCAAATGAACTCAGGGAACTGCTGAGTTGATACCGGCCCTGGAGGAACTTGGGCATGAAATTCCTAAATTATCATCCCTGCTTGGTGCTGATGGCTCAGAGCTGCTGAGAGTGAAAAAAACCACAAAAGCCCCAAGTAAGAGGAATTTCCTGGAAGAGCTTCAGGGAATTATGGAGCAGGAGGAGTGACACCCCTCCTGAGCAGGGGAAGAGAAGAGTGACAGAGTGATAACAGCTAGAGGGGAGGATTGGCCTGGCTGCTGCAGAGAAAAGCAGCCCTGAAACCCTCAGGGAGAATCCCTGAATCCACAACCAAGGGTGGCATGGGGGTTCCTGTCTGGATTTGTGAAAGCCACTAAATGAAATCCCTTCCCAAGGCACTGATGGAAACTGAACTGCCACAACACAAGAGAGATCCTGCAGATAACTCCAGAGCTACTTCAGAGACTGGAATTGGGATTGGGAGTGGGAGTGGGATAACTGCTGGATCACAGGGGAGACACGGGAGTCCTGGGGGAGGTGACAGGCTCAGCAGGGCTGCTCCAGCCTCCCAGGTCAAAGAAGAAATAGCAGAGATGCAGAGAAAATGGTCCAGGACACAGAAAATGGTTCTGGACAGGGGACAAGGAGTGGGGGCTCAGCTGTGGGGTGAGGAGAAGCAGGAGGGGAATGATGGCTCTGAGTAAACTGAGGCAGGCTCAGAAGAATGCAAAGGTGTTGCTTCTCCACAAGACACGTCCCCAACCCACCAACCAGGTCCCACCAGGATGCAGAGGCTGCTGGAGGTTTGTACCAGACCAGAAGATGATGTGGGAAATCAGTGAAACCAAAACCCATCACAGGTTTCCATTGATGGCTCCAGGGCAGGTTGGGTGGGGTGGAAATGAGAGAAGCGGGGGAGAAATTTCCGCTCTATCTGAGCCCACAGAGGGTGGGGTGGGGGAAGTCTGGGCTGTTTGGGAGGGTTTGTAGGGTGAGGGCTGCCTGCCTTGGGCTGCTGTGCAGGGACCAGCCTGGGGGGTCCTGGCTCGGCTCAGCTTCTCTAAGAACAAAGCCTGGCCCCTGAGCACCAGCTGGGTGCCATGGGTGCCTGATGTCCCTCAGGGTTTCTCACTCTGTCTTCTGGAGGAGGTTGGGACACTGGGAGTAGCCAGGAGAGGAACCATGACCCCATTCGACTGAGCCCCAGTGCCCAGCCGAGCCCCAAAACCCCTGCTTGGGGTGGAACTGAGCCCATCCCTCTGCCTCCCCCAGCACTCAGCACAGAGGGGCCAGCCCTGCACTCAGGGCACGTCCCTGAGGTGGCTGTCCCCTCTCCAATGTGGCTGTCCCCTGTCTGAGGTGGCACTCACCCTTTCCAACTCCTTCACCAGGATCCTGACCAGGACACAGCTGGTGCTGGGGTTCTGTTCGATTTTCTTGTGCAGGGTCCATCGCAGCATTCCTGAGAAGGGAGAGCCAGGGCAGGGCAGCTCACTGAGGGAGGGATCTGGGTGAGGTTTCACAGGGGACTCAGGGACCTGAGCACTAGAGTGCAAAAATCCCCCCTGGGACGCTGCTCTGCCATCTCTGAGAGCTAAACCAGCCTCCTCTGCCTTCTGCTCTCTCCTCTGACCCTCTGCAAGGGCCAGACCAGCCCCTCCCTGGCTCTGGATACAGCATCGGTGTGTTGGATCTAATTCTGGGAAACCCTTGGGAATGGCTCCAAGACCTCCGAGGGCTGGAGAAAAGCAAGGATTTATTTCCCTGCTCCTCTTTATGCCCAGCTGCTTTCCCCACCTGCCCCAAGGAATTTGGGATCCTGCTGCTCCCAGCACTGGACCTTCAGAGCAGGGACCACAAAACCTCTCAGCCCTGAGGATGCCATGGCTCATTCCAGGCAAAATCCAATTTAATTAACTGTAAAATATCCTGTGTGTTCCAAGGAAGAGTTTTTTCAGAATTCATTTGGTTTCCCCGGGCTGTAAGAGTTTTATCCTCCAAACCCACAACACGGAGGAATCAGCTGGTCCCTCAGGCAGGGACGAGCTGGGCAGGGCAGAGGAACATTCCCACGGAGAGGCACCGGGAGAATCCAGCTCGGGGCTCGGTGTCTGTGTCACCCTGGGGGCTCTGCATTGATGTCCCAGCCCAATGCAGGACCCAGGGTAAGATAGAGTGTGCAGGGGTGACAGAAGGGTGACAGAAAGAGGGGTGACAGAAAGGTGACAGAAGGGTGGCAGTGGCTGCTGGGGCACGGATACAGCTGATGCAGGATTTGGCACCTCCAGAACAGGGTTAGGAAGGGCAAGTGAGCGAAGCCACCGTATCCCCACATGGCTGTGGAGGGGAGTTGGGCGCTGTGGCAGGCAGTGCCCAGCAGGGCAGTGCCACCCCCTCACCTCGGTCACTCTGGCAGGAGGGGTGGTGCCCGTCCAGCTCCCGCAGCAGCGCCCGCACTCGCCGCAGGATGTCCGACTCCAGCTCTGCAGGGACACGGGGCCGTGAGCCCGGAGCACAGAGCTGTGCCCAAGGCCACTGCAGCGGGTCAGGAGAGCCAAGGGCCCCTGCAGGGACACGGCAGAGCAGCTCTGCAGAGCCCAGGCCCGAGCCGTGCGGAACCTTCCTCTCCCCTTGCTCAGTGAAAAAAAAATCTCACATTAAACACAGAAATGAACAAAGCTGGAATGAAATGAAGGACCCGGAAGCTGGCATGGGGAAGGAGCCGAAGCCCCTCAGCACTGGGCACTGCCCAGACTGAGCCCCAGCCTCACAGGCAGTGCAGCCAGGGCTGCTGCCCACCCCAGCACGTCACCCCCGTGGGGACCCCGGGCAGGGCTCAGGCTGCAGCGTCCCCTCGTGCCCCCACAGGACCCCCACAGCCTCGCCCCAGGGCCCCGAGCACCCCCTGCTCCCCAGGCAGGGACCCCGGGCAGAGCTCCTGCCTGGCAGCCCCTTGTGTCTGCCAAACCCCAGCTGCTTCCTGCTCTCACCAAAAATAACTCGGGCAGCCCCAAAAAGAACTCTGACAGCCTCAGCCCCTGTCTGGGGCACGGCTCAGACTGGGAGCTCGAGTTTGGGGTGGGAGCTCGAGTTTGGGGTGCTGCTCGATTTCACTCTCCTGTTTACTGGTTTGGCACACAGGAATTATGCTATCGAGGACTATTTGAAATTTCCTGCTCTTTTCCTTTGTGTGTGTTTGTGATCACCAGGGGGGGCTTTTCCTGAGCACTGATATCAGTCCTGTCCTCTCCTCCTGGATCAAAGCAACCCCAGCACTGAGGGTCCCTCACAGCGAGCAGAGCAAAGAGATTGACCCAGCACAAACAAGAGGCACTTTGATCTAAAAACAGAAAAAAAACCATAAAAATATAAAAATCCCAGCAACAAACAGCAGTGGCTTAGAAATGGAATAAAACCTTTCATCATTGACATCCTGACCGTGGGAGATTAACAGCACCTCTGAAATAGCATGAAAATAAAACATGGTGGGGAAATGGACTGAAATACAATAATAATAATAAATATAAAACTACTTTAAAACTCAAATGTTTTGTTGTATCTGAGTGCCCCACACTCAGCAAAGCTTTTGGCTGCCCCTGAAGTGCTTTGTGCCTCTTATCCCATCTTCCAGCAGCACCTGCCAACACCTTGGAAATCATCCAGGTGTTCAAACAGAGGAACATCGAGGGGTAAGAGGTGGCTGAGGGTTAATTCTTGGCTCCCCCTCCCCAGCCCCGGGGGGCTCAGGATCACCCACCTGAGCTCTCCATGGCCACACTGAGGCTGCAGCTCGTGGGGGAAGTGCACAGAACTCCTCACTGCACTCGGGCATGGCCTTGGATCTGGGGTAACACCTGCAGAAAATGAGGACACCCTTGGCTCAGGTGGGGGCGGAGATCAAGGTCAGAACCTTGGGGGAGCACAAAGTCATCAGGATGCTGTGGGACCCCCATGGGGCAGAGGCAGAGCCTAAAGGTGAACCCAGGCTGTGTTTGGGGCAGAAACCAGCTCAAAGCTGATCCCATTGGGATATTTGGCCCCCAAATCCTCCTGCAGCAAGGAGTTCCCCAGGGATGAACAGCAGCCGCCTCCCTGAGAAGGACAGGATTGGGATCCTCATCCTCCCAGGATTTAAAAAATGTCCAATTTAAGTCAAAATGAGTCTGAAATACAAAGTTCATCTTGGAATAAAAAGGAGGGGAGAGAGCCTGAATTTCCAAGATTAAATTTTTTTTTGTTTAATTTGAAGATTTAGGGCCAAACTCCACCCACCCAGGTAGTTCCTAAATCTGTAAATCTCCATCACCAAATCCAACAAACTGCAGCTGCAGGAGGAGGAGAAGGGACACGTGTGGGAGAGTTCCTGCCAAGCACCACTCGGGCACCCTGCTCACAGCAGCTCCCAGACACTCGTTAAAGGTTTCCTGCAGCACCCGGAGCCTCCAGACCCCTCCCCAGCCCTGCGTGGGTCCTGCTCTTGCCCTGGGGCTGGAGAAAGGCTCCGGGCTGAGGTACTCCCAGGGACTTCCATCTCCCGCTAGCGGGGAGGGCGATGCGCCAGTGCCCTGCCTTCCCCTGGCACCGGCGCTGCCCAGCCAGGCTCCAGGCGGCTCCAGAGACAGTGAGACAGGAGCGGGATGTGCCCGCTGGAATGGCAGCCTGGGCCACCGCAGAGCACCGAGCCACCCTGCTGCTGTCCCAGCTCACAGACCGCCCCTGAAGCCCCGGCTGCAGAAGGAAGGGGATGGTGCTCCCGGTCCCTGCCGCGCACAGGACACCGAGCAGCGTGCCAGGGGAGGAGCTGCCAGTCCCGGAGTTCAACTTGCTGGGCAAGCACCGCGCTCCCTGGAGCCACGGGAGACCCCCGGCGCTGCCCTCGGGCTCCTCCCGGCTGCGCTGCCGGAGGAAGCGGCGCTAAATGCGGCTGAAGGTGCCGGTGGCTTCCCACATCCGCATCCTCCTGACAGAGCGGGGGCTGCTGGCCCGCCGGAGCTTCCACATTTAGCAAAGACCAACGTGAGAAACTTTGGCTCTCGGTTCACCTGTCTGCTCCAAAACGGCTCCTTCTCTTCCCTGGCAGCAAAGGGCGGCTGAGGCTGAGCCCACAGTGCACGTGCTTGCCCCCAGGGCTTGGGTCTCCCCGGAAAATTCAACTTGAAGTGACAAGAACTGGTCCCCAGCACGTTCAGAACCCAGCCACGCTGCCCAGGGGAGGACAAGCAGGTGCCATGGGTGAAGAGGATGAAAGGACACGCACAGGAACAGGAAGAGTGGCGTCAGCCAGGGTCCTGCCAGGCTCCAGCCATTGCTTCTCCCTTGGCCAGGACCAGCACGGGAACCCAAACGAGCAGAAATTCCCCAGGTTTCCCTGGGATGTTTTGTGCCTGCTGTGCTCCCCGAGGTGAGGGTCCAGCCCCTCAGCCCCGGCTGTGCCCGGTCCCAGATCCCAGCAGGGCAGGCAGGGGTGCTGCCAGCCCAGAGGAAGGGGAACTCTGGGCACCAGTGCCAGCCTCTCTGTCTGCCACAGCTCTCCTGAAAGGATCCCTGGCACGAGGAACAGGAATTGTCCCCATTTCTGGGGATGGACCCTGAACTGGTCCCAGCACCTGCTGGACTCAGCCCCTTTCCCTGGGGACCCCTCCCTGCTCCCAGAAGTCTGGGAAGCTTCCCTGATCCACACCAGGAGGGTTCTCTGCTCTCTGTCCCCCTCCTCTCCCTGGATCTCCCTGCAGCAGACACAAGGCACAGCTCATCCCAAACCCGGGTATTTTATTGTCTGCCACCTCAGCAAGACCAGAGCCTTCTCTGCATTCATCCCACTTCTTTGCAGAGCTGCAAATCTCCACTTCCTCTCTTCAATTCTTAAAATACCCATAGCATCAGCTGGATTTTATTCCTTTTTCAGGGAAAAAAATTAAAAAGGAAGGGCAAGAAGAGAAGTTGCAATTCTTCCTCCAGGTTTTGATAATTCTGAGATTCATAGTGCAAAAAACCCCAAGTGACCCCAAAGCCACCTTCCCCAAGAGTTTGGGGCAGTTTTGGGAACACCTGGCTCTATTCTTAAAAATGAAGGACTCAGCAGTGAAAGTGCAGCTCACCCTGGACACTGGCAGACAGACTCACAGGTTAAGGGACTTACAGGGTTAAGAGGAATCCTCCTGTTCCAAACTGCAGGTGCAGGAGACAGCGAGAGTGGGACCTGGCTGAGCACCCCACAAACCCCTCCTGAGCCCCTCCTCTGCCAGGCAGTGGCCGTGGGGGCCCAGGCTGGGGAGAGGCTTGTACCACTGCTCCATCTCAGCCCCACTAATCCAAGGTGAAGTTCTGTCCCATTTGGGGATCCTCTGGCCTCTGCCTCCCTCTCACCTCTCCATCCTCCCACTGCTCATCCCACTGAAGCTCCTTCCTCCTAAGCAGGGATCCTTGTTTGCTCAGGCCCAGGTGTGCACAAGGAAATTGTCACCTCCCTCCAGGGTTGTCCCTTCCCTAATCCTTCCAGGCAGAGAGGAACACTGGGGACAGCACTACAAGTGCTGGGGACACTACCCTGAATACTGGGGACAGAACCCCAAGTGCTGGGGATGCCACTCCAAGTGCCCTTGCCCTTCTCTGAGGGCTGATCACCAAGACATTGTCACCTGGTGGGTTCCAGCAGATCAAACATCACCCTGCAGGCTTTGGGCATGTCTGGAGAGTCCTGGGCAGCAGCAGGTACAGCCAGTGGGTCACTGTCCCCATAGGGCCATCGGGCCCCACACAGAGCCCAGGCTGGGCTGCTCCTCGTCCTCCACGAAGGAGGATCCACATTCTCTCAGCCCTTGTAAGGAACTGCTGAAGGAACAGTTCATCCCAGGATGAACAGGAAAGCACAGCCCCGTCCCCACAAAGGGTATTTCCCTCTTAGCCCCGTGGCAGGGGCTGAAGCTCAGCCCTCTGTGAGGCGAATGGGGTGAGACTGAAGATCCCATTCAGAGGGACAGGGACGTGTCCCTGCAGGTGGGTCACTTCAGCCCCACCGTGGTGACTCGGGCTGTCCCCGGGAAATGTGGGGCTGCACAGGCTCCCCAAAGACTTCCTGCTCTGTCTCACAGGCCATCAACACTGGCAGAAGTCACTAAACCCCAAACCCCCGACCAGGTGAAACACGAGAGGCACAGAAATAGCTGAAGCGAGGCAGAAATAGCTGAAGCCACGAAAGAAAACCTAACCCCAAACCTTTCGGTGGGAGCTGGGCTGGCAGCAAACGAGGCTCCCCTGGGAAGCTCCAGCATGTCCAGGATCTGCTCCCGGCACACCCTGCCTGGCTCCCAAACACCAGCGCCTGGAGCAGGGCTGGCCACAGCCAGCCTGGAGGATGTCGCTGTCCCCGCTCCCCGTCTGCCCAAGGACAGCGGAGCCACAGAGCGAGCACATCCCCTCGCTCTCTCCAGTTACACTTATCGGCCCCAAAGCCATCTCCCCACGCCTCCTGCAGCCCGTGTTTAGACACGAATTCATCGCCCAGGCACGGCTGAGCTTTCCTGGGGCTGTTTATCAGCTCCACCATAGAGAGAAACCGCACTCCGCACGGGCACAGGGCACGGCTCTGCCCTCTGCCCGTGCCACCGCAGCCACCGCCCCCTGCCAGCCCTCCCCAGCCGGCGCTGGCCCCCTGAAGGAGGGGCACAGATCGCACAGATACCATCGGAGGATGAGCGAGAGGCTCCGCGCCGGAGCGTCCTGCGGGAGCCGCGGGGACCCGAGCGCACGGGCTCCGAGTGTCGTCACTGCGTGACAAATGGCCCGGGGACAGCCCAAATCCGCCACCCCCTCGTGCCCGCGGCTTCTGCGGGCGAGGCTGGCTCGGAAAGCGGCACATCAGAGCCTGGCACGGCTGCCGGCACCCGCCCAGCCCGGCTTCGTCCCGGCTGGAACACGGGACGGGACGGGACGGGACGGGACGGGACGGGACGGGACGGGACGGGATGGACGGGACGGGACGGGACGGGACGGGACGGGA